GTGCCCGCCTACCTCGCCATCTGATTCGCCGGCTCCTTCATCGCTGGTTTCTGATTGGCTGCTGCTGCCCCCTGTCCACCGTCTTCTGACGACAGGCGCCATCGCTGATTGGCGGAGGATGGTCCCACACGGGGCTGGCGAGAGACCACACCGCGCAGGCGCATTCCGTCGAGTCTCCTTAAACACCAGCATTTAAATAGCTCTCGTTTAAAGGAACAGGCGAGTATTGCCCTGCAGGCCGGAGGTAAGGGAAATCTCATATACTGTACTCGTTTTATTCTTAAATGACGATGTAGTGCGAATGACAACCGTGAAACACATATGGAATGGTTATTGCCTGTGCTAATTCGTTTTGACTGATCGTTTTTAAAAATAAATTCCAAGTTTTCTCTTGGATTCTGGTGCACTTTCACCTTAAAACATTATTTTAGTGAAAAGAATGAACAGCAGCGAAATGTTTTACTTCCCAGTCGTTCCTGTTCCTGTCCCTAAAGAAAAATGACATTCCACCTCATTGTTAATATTGAATCTAAAACAATTTGAACTTGTCTTTCAGCTGTTGTTTCTGTTGTATTAGTCATAATCACGCTACAGGTTTATCATACTTTGTTAATTAGAGTGCTGTATTGTTCTTACATGATTGAGAATGCTGGGAACGCTCTCAGTAAAGCAGTTTTGAAATGAATATTTGACATTAGTATTGTAAAGTATACTAAAGACATTAGTATTGTAAAGTATAGTACTTATACTACATACTATATTTACTATAGTAAAGTATAGTAAGCAGTACGTTATGTGCTGGTTCTACAGACCAAGTTCGGCTGTATTCCTCTGCTTATTTACCTGAAATGACTTTTCAGGATCTGTGAGGCCACTGTTATACTGTGGTATAGTATTCTGTAGTGTTGCATGATTGGGTATATAAAAGTACTATAAAACGCTGCTGGGTTGGTCAGTCTGTGACCCCTGCAGTATTCCCCATGGCTGCACTGACACCAATTAAACAATTAAGGAGCTGGCCGCAACAGGACTCTGAAATGGAGCAGGTGGGTGGGGCTCTAGGTTGAGAAACCCTACCATACAGTATTGTAGAGTGTAAATTATGATAGAGGATTTAGTGTTCGCCAACACACTCCGATTACACGGCAGCCTGATCCACTCCAGGATTTTGTGTCATAAAATGCATTCTGATTACACGGCAGATTGATCCACTCCAGGATTTCGTGTCATAAAATGCATTCCGATTACACGGCAGCCTGATCCACTCCAGGATTTCCTGTTGTCAGGCGCCCTCCGATTGGAGAGCATCCTGATCCGCTCCAGGCTTTAGAGTTGTTCTCTCGTATCCCAGGATTCCGATTCGCTCCGGGCTGTATAGCGCTGTTGGACGGGTTGTGGAGGTACAGTGGGCCGCCCAGCCCCCGGCAGTGCGGGTCACACTCACTCGTGTTTGCACGGGACACGAGGCCCCCCGGAGAAACGCTCTGACGCTCTCGCCCTGGGGACGATGTCGGACAAGCACGGCGTCCCCCGCACGACGGAGATGGAGTTCGGGGGAACGCTGGGTAAGAGCCGCGCACGGGCGAAGGGTGGGGGGC